GTGTTTCATAGTAACTCAGAGACTTGATGAGAGGTTTTGAAATGGTAAGCTGACACACTTTGACAGACATAAAAGCATAGTTTTACATGGACATAGACAATGTAAATGTCATTACTGTAGCAATCTAAGACATTTGCACAGTATTATAGTCTTTGACACACAGTACATGCCCTGCCTTTAGAGACTGGACTGTATGATAGAAATTAGCCAAAGATGCACCCGAGATACAAACCCTATACAATGTATGGGCTCTTAAGTAGAATAAGGTCTAAACAGTCCTTCTTTTGACAGTTTTTCTTAATATATTTTCACTCCACAGTTCCTAAATGTAGCTGGTGCCTTCGTAGGTATCTGAAGGATATGGTGAAGCTGCGAGACGGAAACCATTTCTCAGGATTATCTTTTAGGGCTTGTTCTTGGGACAGAGTTTGCACTGATTTTGTACCAATAAGGATTCCAATAAGAGCACGTTATTAGCGGCACGCCGGAGCAATTGCTATATATTGTAAATATAAACAGTTTCTGTAACTGGGTAGAAATTGTTAAGAGACAGAGATTAGCAGGAGTATGTGGGTCTGGATCCCAGCAGCAAAGGGCATGCACAGAATACTCCACATACAGACTATATGATTGTGGGTCTGGATCCCAGCAGCAAAGGGCATGCACAGAATATTCCACATACAGACTATATGATTGTGGGTCTGGATCCCAGCAGCAAAGGGCATGCACAGAATATTCCACATACAGACTATATGATTGTGGGTCTGGATCCCAGCAGCAAAGGGCATGCACAGAATATTCCACATACAGACTATATGATTTCAGATGTTAAATAGCTACTTTGTCATTATATAGTATATCTGAATATAGCATAGGTTTTTGTTTTCTGTAGGTGAACATGGAAGGTCTGCTTAGATGCTTGTGTGTTTTAATATTTGCACAGTAATTCATTTTTTTATACATTAATCTCCAATTTCAGTATTGGCATGCAGTTTATGAACAGCTTAAGTCTGAAGCCGTGATGCTGTGGCTGGTAATTTGGTATAGCCTTCTGTTGAATTTTTCTTTCTCAATTCTTCTTTCTATTTGAATAAACTTAAATTATACTGCGGTATATTGCAAAAGATTGGGCTGGCTTGTTATTGCGTGCTGACAAGGGAACAATTAACTTTCCGCAGCAGAGATAAGCACCAGTAAGCTGTGTGTTATCTGGGCCTATACTCTTAGTATTGTGGACCACAGTAAGTGAGTTCATTTGGTCCCAGTTGATTGTATAAAGCCCTCTTTGACAAGTGGTATGCTATGGGCTCATGGAGCCGTCGCAGATGAACAACTTGACTCTGCCGATGTGTCACATGCTGTTTGTTTCCTTATCCTGAGGTGAACTAGGAGTGCGGAGCCTTCTGTGCTCAGCTGAAGTGCCTGGATGTCATTCAGGTTCTTAATTCAGGCCAGATTCGCTTTATGCATATTTATCTGAGTGTGACCTGCAGCAAGCTGCAGAGAGGTGAAGAAATAGGTGGAAACAGACACTGTCATATTAAATTCCGTTTTCAATAGAATTAAATGGGTATAGGTGAACAAGACCCCGAGATTTACCTGTCGATCTATGTATGGTCATGAGCTTTGGGTAATGACAGAAAAAATGAGATACAAGCAGCAGAAATGAGTTTCCTCCGCAGGGTGTCTGGGCTCAGCCTTAGGGATAGGGTGAGGAGCTCAGACATTCAGGAGGGGCTCAAGGTAGAGCCGCTGCTCCTCCGCACTGAAAGGAGCCAGTTGTGGCAGTCTGTTAATCAATCTAGGATGCCTCCTGGACGGCTCCCTGGGGAGGTGTTTCGGCATGTCCATCCAGGAGGAGACCCTGGGGCAGACCCAGGACACGCTGGAGAGATCATATCTCTCGGCTGGCCTGGGAACACCTTGGGATTCCCCCAGTGGAGCTGGAGGAGGTGGCTGGGGGAGAGGGAGGTCTTGGCATCCCTGTTTAGACTGCTGTCCTCACAACCCAGCCCCGGATTAGCGGCAGGAAATGGCTGGATGGATGGATGGTTCGATCAATTGATCAGTGGATGGATGGTTATAGGTGATCTATGTAAGCTCTTATGTGGAATCTGTACAATCAATGTAGACTTTGCTTTTATCGCCATCCATCCATCTATCCATCCGTCCATCCATCCTTCTGTCTATCCATCCATATTGTAGTGGCCTATCCTGGTCAGGATAGCAGGCCAGGCAAAGTTGTTAGCACTGTTGCCTCACACCCCTGGGGCCAGCGTTGGAGAATTTGCATGTTGTCCTAGTGTCATTGTGGGATTTCCTGTGGGTACTACGGTTACCCCCCACAGTCCAGAAACATGCTGAGGTTAATTGCAGTTACCAAATTGCTGTAGGTGTGCATGTATAAGTGAATGGTGTGTGAGTGCATGGTGTCCCATTCTGGGATATTCCCTGCCTTGTGCCCATAGGTTTCAGACCCCCCACAACCCTGACTAAGCCAAGCAATTACAGAAAATGGATGGATAGATGGACAGTTTGAATAAGGAAGAAGGAGTAATGTTCTTTGGCCTTAACTCAGGAAGAGGAATTCGATGGCCCTGGAGAAATTAAACAATTTTCTGGGGTCCTTCATAGCCCTCTCCTTCTTTCTGGGTGGGGGGGGGGTGTTTTCTTAAAGTGCCCAATGCTATTGAACTGCAATTTCAATTATGCGTGGCACCTTTGAAATTGTTCAAAGAGCGTCAGCCCCCAGAGCAGAGCGAGAGCTCTGTTGGCTCTCTGCAGTGCACAATTCCTCACTCCTCTCAGTGCCGTCACAGAGCAAGGATGACTGCAGCTCTTCGGGACGGTGTATGGCCTGAGTACGCTGATTGGTCAAGATCTGTGAGGAGAATGAGTGAAGTCTGGCTGCTGAAAATGCCACTTGCCACCACAGCCTCGCTCGCATTCTGTCGTCATCACCAATGCGACCTTAACCCGAGATTTTGGCGTTTACTGATTTGCTTCTAGCTGTGTATTTTTCCTGGGTAGCATAGCTTGCGTTGTACTTTGCCTTAAGGTCCATGTGAAGTACAACGGGATCTGGGGTCTTGGGGAAACTGCAGTGTTTAGGAAACGTTGTACAATACGCTCGATGGTGCACAGTGCAACGGTTTTTAATTTAATAAAAATGCCACAATGAATGATGCACATTCTCTGTCCACTGTCGTCTTCTTCCTGAGTTCTATGTTATTGGTCTTGCGTCTAGTTGATAGTGCTATACCGTTACTTGGATTAAGACTTTGAATCCATTATATACATTCTCATTTACATGTTTCTAAGTGTGCCAGTGCTCCTTTGTAACGAAGTTTACAGTAAAAGTGGAGCTAGATGCAGTATGAATGACTACAGTGTGTGAGAAATGTGAGTGTGTGTGTAAATATGCGTCTTTAATGAATGCCAGAATGAGCTACCTTAGTGACTCGTTCAGCTATATTTCTCTCCCAAGCTAATCGCTAAAGCTCACATCACACCTTCACTATGAGCTGTGTCATTTGACAGTTTAGAAAAGGGGTCCCACAGCTGTGGAACAAACTGTCACTTCTGTTGCGGTATGGGGGGGAAGATTCGAATCTGACAGTGTGTTTCAGTCTGACTGCTGAATCTGCTATATTAATAATAATGTCTGTCCAAGTCACTGGTTGAAAAAGGTCTTTTTTCACACTACAGGCTGTGAGAAATTTTAATGGTGCAGGCTTTCATTTATTTATAACTATATTACAGTACATGTCACTTTTATCTGAACAAATACTCCGGTTCTTTATAGTGTACAATAGCAACATACAGTCACAGGAATAAAGATGTCATAATTCATATTGCTGACTGTACTGCCCGTTGTTATGGTTACATCCAAATGGACCGTGGGAGACTCATAGGCAACTTGGAAATAAGACTGATTTTATGATGTTTAGGAAAGGAAAGCTTTTTCACAGGCTGACACAAAGAAGTAGCTAATAAAAGCATAGCGTCAAGGGAAGAAAAGACGCTTTTCTGCTGGCTCCCTGATAGTATTGGGTTATACGTAACTATCCCCATCTACCCACTTATCCTGAGCAGGGTTACAGGAAGCTTGGTGCAGATCCCAGGCAGCAAAGGCCATCAGCCAGGGGGTTACACTGGATGGGGGGCACACACACACTATACTGCCCTACAGAGGCAAAACACAGGTACTGCAATGACACTGAAAGTGAGAGAAAAGACAGTTTTGCCCTGGACTTTGTAGTTGCAATAATTTTTGCACTGTTTTGATCAAATACGCAGTTACTGTGTTACCTGTGTTACCTTTGTAGGGCAATAGGCAATTTAGCGACCCCAGTTAACCTGTCTGCATGTCTCTGGACGGTGACCCTGGGATAAAATACATGCACTACACTGAGCAGAGGAAGGATTTAAATCCCAAAACCAGGTGTGAAACTAAAATGAAAGCCACTGAGCCACCCTGCTGCCTTCTTAACCATTCCTCTAGCCCTTAGGGTACGGGCTTTGTAACCATGGGGCACTCCTGAGTCCTGTATCGTACAGGGAAACACTGAAGTCCACAGTGGGGGGTTAGTGTCCCAGACGCCAGTGTGGCAATGCAGGAACAAGCCCTCTCATTCTGGTTTTAATCTTTGTGTCTTAGTGCTGTCGCTAAGAATTGCCACTGTGCAGTGTTTCTCAGCCCAGTCCTCAGGGACCTCCAGACAGTCCACAGTCCACAGTTTTGTTCCCTCCAGTGTTCTTGATTGCTTGGGAACTGGAAGGGAGGAAAACTGTCCTAGGGTCCCCAAAGCCTGGGCTGAGAAACACTGCCATGAGGTACACATACCCATACAGACTCTTCTCTGGGCAGTTTGAAAACTGTTAATTATAAAATTGGTGTGTAAGCCAGTGATCCAGTCTGTGAAGTCCCTGCGTCTGTGATGGAAACCGTCATGCTGTGGCCTCCAGATCTTACCCAGATCCTCTTTCCCATTTCCCAGGGAGCAGCCAATCTACAGCACCCGTGCCCATGTCTTCCAGATCGACCCCAACACCAAAAAGAACTGGGTCCCCACCAGCAAGCATGCAGTGACCGTCTCCTATTTTTATGACAGCACAAGGAATGTCTACCGAATCATTAGCCTGGATGGCTCTAAGGTAATGCTGCATCCTGTGCCAATACTGTTACGAGATCTGGAATATCCAGCTTTTCATTTTGCCTTTCACACTGCTGCCATTACACCAGCTGTTACGTAAACTTATGTATGTCAGAATATGCATTTCGATTAAGGAACAAATGCGTTTGAATGCTGTGAATGCTTATGAAGAATGTGCTTCTCCTGTGCTAATGCACGCATAGATAAGGCAGGACAGTCAGTAATGTCACAGAAGGGAATGTCTGAGCACCTTCAGGGTCACTAAAATACCAGATGAGGGAAGCTGAGTGTGAGTGTGAGGGAGAGCTCTTGGCTTCCATTGATAATGGAGCGAGAATGACAGCTCAGGAAAGGAGAATCGAAGATCTGGGTTTTACAATATGACTTCACAGTGTTGTGGCCATAGTTCAGTTGTATGTCATGTGTTTCTGAAGGCACCATTACAGCACACAGTGCAACCCAGAGAAAGAAAATCATTATTTCAGGGGAATTATATTCAGATGCTAAAATTGAAAATGTAACATAGTGGCACTTGTACATATAGTCTTCATCACTTGTAAAATCTCAATGTGCATTTGCAGCAAGTATTTGTGTTGATGTGATTCTGAGTTTAATTCATGTTCTGCCATTTGCTTCAGTTGTGGACCAAAGCAAAAGCTATTATGCTAGTATGAAAAATATATTAATCAACAAATTAGAAGGATAACACTGACAGTCTTAGTGAAGTTTACTACTTATAAATGTTTATGAATGACAATGTAAAAGATACTTTATTTGCCGTTTGTGTAATTCCAAATGCAGGTACATAGGAATTCCTTAGTATTCGCTTATCCTATCTTACTCTCCCCTGAGACATGCACATGTAACGCTGAGCATGTTGCTTGGGGTCTGAGTCATAGCCCTTCAATCATATGGATTCAATTAGAGCAGAATAGTTACTTGGAAATTTAACCTGTGAAAATGTCCAGCAAGGTTCCTCATTTTAACCTTAGACATGAATGGTTGCAAATCACTTATATCCATATATATCACATATAGATATATGGAAAACTGTACATACTGTATATTATGCAATTTTCATTTGTACCTTTATTGATGCAGTTTATGGAATGTTCTGTCAAAATAATGATTATGTGGTCCTGACCAAAGAGAATGTTCTCTTCTTTCTGCATCTGTGATGAAACAACATGCATCAGTCTGTGTTCAAAGGGGTACTCTAGCAGAAGAGGCTAATGTTGATATGCAAGTCTCTTCTCAGTGTTCTATTTGTACTTGCACTTGGCAAAGTACTTCCACTGAACACATGCCATGAAACTAGGTAAGCTAGTTTTGAGAAATACTATACCACAGTTTATTACTTAACAGGCTGTGTGCTGAGCTGAGTTGAGGTAAGCATGCCGTTGAGAAGAAACACAAACAACTTTCAAGAATTCGCAAAGAAGCATATAAAGGCATTGCACAAATGGTGCATTGATCTCTGCAGATTAGACGGCTTCCCGATAAGTAGATCTCAGTACACAGAGACTATACTGAACTTATTTTTCCTGCCTTTTAAAATTCTTGTTTTAAGAATTTTGTTATACAGTGCAGAGGATTTATCTCATGGACCATAGTGTAGCTAACCTGGGATGCCCTTCCTGTGCAAAAATCGATTCTGTTAATGGAAAAACAAACAGTGAATCATTTTGTCTAAGGCAGTTCTATGTTTAATTTTACCATTTCTGTGTAAAGATTCCAGAACTTCTGAATAAGTAATACTGATTTGTCTTCAGTACCTCCTTTGTTTTTATTTCATTTATTAAGAAAGAACATTAACATAAGCATTGTATCATTTGCTTGCTGACATTAATAGAGCACAGATGAGCAGGTTGCTATGGCAAGAACTACTAAAGATACTTTTTGCTTAAAGTTGCCTCTGGCTACAGTCTGTATAGTGTGCGTCCACGCCAGCACCGATTGCAGTTATATGGCTGAAATAGCTTCTGTTCTGTACAATTCATCTAGGGTTGTAGTGGGAACTTTTGCACAAAACGAGTTGCTTTTACTGTAGTTTCGCATGTTACCGCAGTAACTTTTTTAGAATGACTTCAGCAGTGGTGGGGGTGGTATGGATGGAAATGCGCCAGAGTATAATGTGAAAGCTAGTTAGTATCGCCCTGAAAGAGAGCTCAGAATGGACTGCAGCTACACAGCCGTGGTTACATTTGCTAACAGGAGCAGTAGGTGGGATGCCTTTAGCTGCCAGTCGTACTTAATCAGCCGCACTAGGTTGCCCGTTATGTCATCGCTCTCATCTCTCCGAACTGGACGGCTTGGGCGACTCTCTGCAGGTGTTCTAATAAGCCCACACTCACATTGATCTGGCCATCTGTGACCAGGAGAATCAATTTACACTAGGAGAAGGTAAAGTCAGCAGCAAGGTATCTGGCATCGGGAAAGGCTGGTGATGACTTTGGGGGAGCAGGTTTTTGCAGGTCATTTTTTCTTCCTTTTCTTTCCTTGAGGTAAAGATTTCAGTCTTACGTATAAAGACCAGAAAGAGCTTTTTTGGCTGTATGCTATAATTTAAGGCAGCTGAATACATAACTCATGTCACCAATGTCATACTTGAAGAATGTCATTCTTCAAATTTTGAAATATATTTGCAAATAATGCCCCACAAGTACATATGCTTCATCCAGTCAAACTAAGTATGGATGCCATAGCTCTAGGTTTGAATGCTGTAGCTCCAGCTTTGGATGTCGTAGCTCTAGGTTTGAATGCCATAGCACTAGGTTTGGATGACGTAGCTTTAGGTTTGAATGCTGTAGCTCCAGCTTTGGATGTCGTAGCTCTAGGTTTGGATGGTGTAGCTCTAGGTTTGAATGTTGTAGCTGTAGGTTTGGATGCCATAGCACTAGGTTTGGATGGCATAGCTCTAGGTTTGAATGCTGTAGCTCCAGCTTTGGATGTCGTAGCTCTATGTTTGGATGGCGTAGCTCTAGGTTTGAATGCCATAGCACTAGGTTTGAACGCTGTAGCTCCAGCTTTGGATGCCGTAGCTCTATGTTTGGATGTCGGAGCTCTAGGTTTGGATGTCATAGCTCCTATGTCCCAAGCTGGCATTTCCCACTTTAAATATTACAATACGAGAACTGTCAAAAAATTGTGTTTTTTAAGGTAGCATAATGCCACAATAGTTATTTTCCAGTGATGGATGTTTTATTGTTCTTAAACCATGAAGGTAGAGCTGAGCAATATCAGGTTCCTTTTTTGTATTCAGAACCACACAGAACTTCAGTTCTCTTTTTATTTCTTCATGTTCATGATGCTGCAGAGAATGTGCTGGCAGCAGTGCCATTACGACAGATTAGACTGTATCCATTCCCACTTCCCGATGTTAATGCCCCCCCCCCCCATCCCCAGAGTGAAGTACAAATCTGCTCATCACACACCTCCTCTCCAACACCACAACTGTCATGGCTCTCGTGCGGAGCCTGCGTGCCGATGCCGCGCCAGCACCCCGCTTAGCATTCTGCCGGCGGCGTGTCACGTAAGCGAGGCCGCCTCTGATCAGGGCCGCGTCATTTTAACCCCCCGTTCTCCCAGCAGGGCCAGTGCCACTCGCTGACGCAAGGCCTTTATCGCAGAACTTGGCCACTAGGGGGCGTAGGAAACAACCTGGAAAATGTGTCCTGAGACTTCTGGCCCAAGTCAAGTGGAAATGAGCTGTGTCTCTATCAGCAAGTGTGCAAGGCCCCCTCTGCGCGGGAGCGGGGGGTGGAGAACAGATGCCCAGATCCAAGGTGTGGAGGGCACAGTGGGTGAAAACCAACAGCCGGATGTCATCCTCCTCACCCTCGCACATACAGATAAGAAACAGTGGAACATCAGTAGTTATCAAAAAGATATCATAGAAGTCTATAGGATTTACAAAATCATGAACTAAGCTGTTGTGCAAGGCGCAAAACTCAGAAGCTCTATCAGCTCGTGGGCTGAAGTTTGTGGTGGGTAGAGGTTTGAAGGGGTGGATTTTCTGTGTATCTTGAAGAATGAATGGTTGCCCAGAGTGACAGAGATGAGAGGATTGTAGCTCTTGGCCGTTTACTCAGACACTGATGATGTGGGCCACTATGACCTTGATGTTGTGTGTAGGTGTTACACAAAAGTTCTGCCAATATCCTGCCAAACCATTACTGCTAGCCAAATGTCAGCACTTTACCAAATGTCAAGAATTTCAGAAGAGCTCGGATAACCGGTGGAAGAAAAATGGGAGGAGTAAAATATGAACAATTCATTAGATAAAGAACAAGATGTACCCGGTGTTCCCGATGAACCGGCACGTTGTGGAAGCAGATTGTGACAGTGCTAGGCAGGAAATTTACAGGGTAAGCGACATGTGCTAGGAGAGAGTTTGCAAGTGAGTGCAGTGTGTTCTTGAGAGTTCTTGGTCACGCCATGTTTGTCATCTCGAGTAATGCTGAGTTCATAGTGAGTTCACCCATGAAAACAGCTTTGCAGATGACTATTAGTCAATCAGATGGTAGCTTTGGCTGTGTCCCAACCGACGCAGGGAGAGACCCTAGTCACAGGGCAGATAAACATCTGTCTAAAAGCAGACAAAGAAGGTTCCTCTGGGTTTAGTGTGAGTAATTTATTTTATTATTATGTTTGTCGCTTTGGATTAGATGAGCCGTCAAGTAGAAAATGTAAATATGTATATGTGTGAATATGTAGTTACTGCACTTGAGAGATTGTAGCACATCATAAGTCGGGGAAAAGCAGACATATGTGAACACAGAGATGATACTGTATACTCACACCTACATAAACACAAATTTCCCCAAATAATTAAGGTTTAGCATTCAGGAACTTATGCAGATTTTAGAGACGCTTTTCACAGCTGGCAACAGATACAATAACTGTCCGTGGGTGTGTGTGTTTGGCATAATGCTATGATTATTTTTGTCTTGAGGGGTCCTTGATGAGTCATTTTTGAACAGCGTTACATAATGAGCGTTCCTGACTGACTGACTGCTGCTGCTGCCTCTGACACCGGTTCGCAGAGTCTGGCAGCCGGGTCAAAACTCGAAACACTTAATAGCTTGGCTGCCTGGTGCCTTCGAGCTCGAACATAATCAGCAGCTTTACGCCTTGGCAGGGGCACGTCTCCGCTCAAGCTGAAACTCAGGGAGCCTTGAAGGAAGGTTGACACCCTGTTCCTAACACCCCTCTGGCTGCCTGGAGTGATGCGATTCTGCAGCCTCACCTGGCTTCGCACACTCTCCTCCTCTCCCCTTCCAATTGGGTTTACGCTGCCAACTTCAGGCGCATATTGCCTCCCCTCCACAGACCGGAGGGGATTCTGAACACTTAAGAAGGATTTTGTGTCCAATTCCTCCAATATCCTGCTCCTGGTCCGAGTGGCGGAGTTTGAGTGCCGTCTGCCTGTACTTAAGAGAATGGCATGCAAACGTATGTCGCATGGATTCAGTTAAAGGGCAGGTCCTCAGTATGGGATCAGGACAGCCAATAATATTCATCAGAGACTGAGTGTCTTTTGTGTTTTACTTTTAGAGCTATCTTAGATTTTATAGCAGAAATGTATAATGTCTTCTTCAGAAACAGTAATTCATGTCAAAATATTGTATTATTTGTAACGTAAAGCATACAGAAGTATTACATAGAGATATATAAAAACATGCATTATATATATGTTTTTTTACATATGTACGTACATTGTTAGTAGCATTTCTATGCACACGCACACACGCACTAAATATCGTGGTAGATATTCTTATGAAGACAAAATGTATATGGTTAATTTCTCATATGGTAAAATATAATTTAGGAATGATTAAGAACTAAGAACCAATAACATTGATTTTGTTTCAGATCTTGTTACAGAATTTTGTGCATTTTTATGATTTATAAGATGATATTTACTCGCATCTAAAAGTGGAGATGAGGTGAAGTGTAAGTGTGCTCATGCCTTTCACTGTGAAACGTGTCTGGAGCCGGTGGGCTCCCGCAGCATCCTGAATGGGCGACCGCCTTCATCTCCGCAGGCTATAATAAACAGCACCATCACCCCCAACATGACTTTCACCAAGACGTCACAGAAGTTCGGCCAGTGGGCGGACAGCCGGGCGAACACCGTGTATGGGCTGGGATTCTCCTCCGAGAATCATCTGCTGAAGGTGGGTGGCCTCGCTTTCGCAGGGGGGTGGCCGCCATCCCCGGCGTGTGGGAGGCTGACGTCCGCACCCACCCCCCCTTCCTCCTCCTCCTCCTCCCCTTACACTGTGATTCACTGCCCGGGTGAATGGAGGCGGCTGCCTCTTTCTTTTACTTTCGAAGCATTTCAAAGTTATGCAAGAGCGCCCACGGCCACGTGCATACGCACCGGCCTGCCTCTCCTACTCCCTCACACGGACACACCGTGTGCACACGCACCGGCCTGCCTCTCCTACTCCCTCACACGGACACGCCGCGTGCAGCCAGCAACGGCAAGCAGTCGCTCGAAATAAAAGCATATTTCAGCTCCACACCCAGCTCTTAACCAACTGCTAGTCATTTCCGAAGAATAAAAAGGAGCCTTCGATGATCAGCTGGTCGCTTGACAGCAGTAATATCAGACTGGCCCTCCAATTTCACACCCATTGACAATAGCTGTAACCTTTATAACGTTATAACGTTGGAGTACCTTATTCATTATTTTGTTTGCCAGAGTCCCATATCCATGGTGACTGGCCTACAGCTGTCATTCTGAACTAAACTGGGACTTAAACTGAACTTAAACTAAACTCTATTTTAAAAAATCCCAGGCAGCGAGAACAACCCTAACCCCAGTGACTGTTTAGTTAAAAATTCTACTGCGACTTGGTATTTTTTTAAGACTATCAATGACTACTGGGTCATGTGACCTACATTACCACCACCCCCCCATATTCATGGCGAGCTTTATGAAAGCATGATTAAGTAACAGACAGCTGTGTTGCCATTATCTCGCAAGCGGGATCCCATGTACATGCAACAACTGAAAAAGCCAACTTGCTGGATGAAAACCTTCTTTCTCTATGAATATGCATGTGCTGATATGGCTATAACTTCAGCAGCCGCTACTCTGTGATCAAAACATATTCATATGTCAGTTTTACATTAAAGCATCATTATATTTGCTGCAGTTACTTTGCAAGCCAATCTTAGCCATTAACACTATTTTTTCCAGACTTCATTCGTCGTGTGAGTAGTGTGCTCCTTCAGACACTGCTGTAGCAAAGTGCAGAAGCCATTTCTGGGAGCCTGTCTCAAGGGATACAAATATTCCATTCTAGGCCTGAACACAGTTCTTCGTTTCTATGAAATAAGCTTGGATTTGTAACCATTGGTGTTTGTGTTGCGTAAATAGAAAGTCATTCTGAAAAGATATATTTTGTTTTCCCAGTTGGAGTATCCCTGCACCTGATTCATAAACACAATGTGAGGATTAAATTGCACATAACAGTCCAATCTTCCCAGAATTGGGTTTATCATGCACAGATTCGGTTCACGAAACTCATATCACATTAAGAGTCACCGTTAGCGAGTATTAGTTATTTGTATAACGAATGCCTGGCGTGTACCCAGAGTCCCTCCGGCGGCTCACAATCTCCGGCGACGTTTTCCATCTGTCCACCATAAACACCTGTGAATGTACATGCATTCTGCGGGACTCTTCGCAGTTTGCTGAGAAGTTCGCCGAGTTCAAGGAGGCAGCGCGATTAGCCAAGGAGAAGTCCCAGGAGAAAATGGAGCTGACCAGCACACCATCTCAGGTGCAGTCCCACGCTCCATTCTGTACCATCCAAGGCTGGCCTACAAAACATACACAGATGCATATGAATAAAGCCTAGTGGACTAGTTCTAGGCTTAATGTGACCCTGTTCTAGATAGATGGTTATGGAGGAGGAATGGTTGCATTATACTGTATACCTTTCTGTATTGTGGTACAGTATGTATAATTTTATTTATTTAGGACAAATTAGTAATAAATAACTTGATAAATGATTAGATAAAAACCTTGTAAATGAAGTACTATTTTTAACCATCTGTGCATCTATCTTCCATACTCCTTATCTAGTACAGGGTTACCCTTTTTTACATTAATCGTAATTAGTTATGAGTGACACTAAATTCTATAACAAACTAGCACCAATGTTTGGACGACTGTTTTCAGACAACCAGGAGAGTTAGGTGACAGGTTGATTGTAAATCATGAGTTCATCGAGGGCATTTTTCTGAATGAATATATCATTGAACAGGTCAGGATAAAGGAACTAAAAGATGCATCCCAAAAGCTAATAATAATAATAATTTCATACTGAACATTAGGCAGAATCCAATTCATTCTGTTTTAACTGTAACAAATTCTATTCAGTGTTTCTATCACATTTCAACGTTCGCATAGAGGCTATAATGCAATTCGTGATTGTGAGGTTTTTTTCGGAGATGAATCTGCTTGCAGCTTGGTTTATTCCTGTCCATGTAATACTTGAAGTTTAAAAGTCATCAACTGTTGTTTTAACTCAGCTTTAAGGGGAGAATAAATCCTTGGGTTATTCTGAACTGTAATGAATCAGTTCAGAGGTCCAGCTGCTGAGCAGATCCTGTACTAGGATGGCTAAGTCCATTGACATGTGAAACGTAATCCACAGTCCTTACTCCAAAAGTCAGGCCCGGGTCAGAAAACAGGTCAGGTACAGTAGGTGGGACACCAAGTTCTGCTCAGAAATCCAACAAACAACCACAACAACAACAAGTGTAACAGCGATCCAGAGGGGCAGGTACAATACATCAGAAAGGTTTTCCTTTGAATTACCCTTGATCTTATACTACCCTTAGGAAACAGTCAACAGGTGTATCTAACATTTAGGTGACAGATGGGCATGTCTGCAGGGAGTCTTCCTTGGTAGTAGCTATTGTTACGTCTAAGCTAGTAATGTACTGTTAATTATTTGCAAACATCGCTTATTATCACTGTCCCTTAATTTTAGTTGATTTTGATCAGAAGTAGTTTGATATTGATAGTCCAACCAAGCTTTGTGGTTTTACTTTTATCATGCAATTATGTGTGAGTGTAATCTGGGAAATATCTGCAGTGAGAATGAATGGTTTGTCAGTGGTAAGGATTCATTACTGGGTAATTGCGCCGGTAAGTCTCTCTAATTAATCCTCATTTGTGCTGCTCTTTGAAGGAGTCAGCCACAGGGGATGTACAGGCGCCCCTCACCCCAGAGAGCATCAATGGCACTGACGATGAGAGGGCCACGCCGGATGCTACGCCCAACTCAGAGCCCCGACCTGAGCCATCCCAGAATGCATTGCCCTTTTCACATAGGTAAGTTGCCTTGCCAGGTAGCCCACTGGTGGCAGATTTCCAAACCCTGCCTGTTTTCATTGTAGCAATAGTTGTTTCTTCCTTACTTCATCTGTCATCTGGACTTGAGGGAAGGTATTTTCCAGGAAGGGACACCATGTTGATACTTGGGTTATTAGGGATTTCATTGTAAGGTCTGTTGGCAGTGGTCTTTGGTTGCCTGTCATTTTTTTGTAGGGTGAGATATTTTTAAAATGTTTGAACAGTTTTAACTCATATGGGTACCAATGTAGCCTCGAACTTCCAGGGTTGTGGGTTTGAATCCCTCTGCTCTGTGTGTGTGGAATTTGCATATTCTTCCTGGGTTGTGTAGGTTTGCTCTAGATATTCTGGTTATGTCAACTGGCATCTCTAAATTGCTGGTAGAGTGTGACTATGTATGTGCCCAATGACAGACTGGTATTCCCTCCTGGCTGTACCCGGCCTTGTGCCCTGTGTTGGACTGGCATCCCATCCAGGGTGTACCCCAGCCTCTGCCCTGTGGCGGACTGGTATTCCCTCCTGGTTGTACCCAGCCTTGTGCCCTGTGGTGGACTGGTATCCCCTCCAGGATGTACCCCAACCTGTGATGGGCTCAAGGCCCCTGTGACTTGACATAGTTATGAAGTTGGAACAGCATTGGAATTTAGTTACTTTGACTGTCTCTTCAGAAACACTTATTTTGTTACAACTAAGTAACATAAGGTTTTAACTCAAAAGAGCTGGTTTCTAAATTATTAGCTGACATCTATTTGTAATATCCAAACCAGCCCATCAAGACACAAAAACATTGCATTTGAATATTTATAGTACTTTGTTCTGATTTCAGCACTAGGACATTCAGTGGAAATAGCATCACTAAATCTTAAGTATTTCTCTTGACTACCATAATGAGAAGACAGTCACAAATCATGCTTGAACAATTTGTTTGTTAAAAAGGTTTTTCACTGTGTGCGCATGGAGGGACTTTTAGGGTCTTCTCTATCAAAGTGTCTGTCTTAAGATAATGTAGACACATGGGTAGCAGTGAAACACATACTATTACTGTAATTGTGTTTACTTGATGTGTGAGGGATGCTTCCTGATAGGATAGGATAGGTTAGGATAGGATAGGATAGGATAGGATAGGAAGCTATCTGTGTTATGGAACAATGCTGTGGTGATAATGACATAATGGTGGGTCATAATGACAGTAGACAGAGCCACCATCATGTGTCTGTTTTCCTCTGAGAAAGCACTTGGCATAAAGTGGATGTATTAAAGTGAACAATGCTCAAGTTCTCAGTCCCTTTCTATTGCCCTCCCAATAATGGGCAGTGGTGGCCTAATGATTAGGAAAGTGCACTTGTGACTGAAAGGTCACTGGGTTGAATCCTCTGCCTGCAAGGTACCCTTTGTAAGGTTCTACCCCCCATGCAGAGCTTCCTAAATAATAGCTGTCCACTGTGATGTCATATGTGGGTTAAGTGCAGAGGACAAATTTGTTTGTTTTGTGGATGCTTCCTAAGCAGCTATCAATGCACATGGATCCGTTTTCTTTCTCAAACTTGCACCAAACACAACTGGAAATTGCATGCTTGGTCTGCTGGTATTTTTGATAATTGCAGTCAGAAATCAGTCTCCTCATAGTAATTAACTCTCCACGTGGTCCTTGCTGAGAGATCAGGTATAGATTGTCACAATGGCCATTACTTACTGTTCTTTTGCTGCACAGCAGTGAAGTGTGTCTAAAGCTCTTCTGTTCTGTCCTTTTGTGTTAAGTCTTAAACTCAATCTCCTGTGCTCTTTTTCAGACAACTCTATAAAACTTTTCGAGTCTACTCCTTTTAGACAAAAATATAATGAGGATGGGTCATCAAGTGTCTCTTCTCCAAACCAGCTCTTCATTCTAATCTACTTTTTAATATCAAATTTTCATTCCTTGATTCATTCTGTTTAACAAAAAACAGTTAAAAAATAATTTTTCAATGTTTTAAATTGTTGAGGATTCTATGTGTAGATTGTTTGATAATACAGTTAAATTGAGTGATGCATAATACTGGTCACTTTTTTACCTCTGTTCTTGTTAATCTTTCAAATTTTATAATTGGGTTCAGATGTGTATTTTGGTACGTTATTGTATTTTGTCTCCACTTAAAATGTATTTTTAAACACTTGATGCCTTGTGTTGTTTACAGTATTTTGGTGCTTGATTACATTGACATTGTTTGTGATAATCTGAATGATACCTTTATACTTGACCTTGTGGTGTTGCTCTCTAATTCGTGGTTGTGAAGTATTTTATGTTTAAAAATAAGAAAACATTTCTATTAAAAAAAACATGAAGAAATTGAGTATTGATATGTGTGTTCAGACGTAGCAGTGATTTATGTTGAGAAGCATCACTGCTTAGGGGCATCTGCTGCCCTCTCACACTTCCAGAGAAGAGGATCCACACCCCCATCCCTCTCTGTCTGTCGAGCTTGCATGTTCATCCCTATGATGCACCAGGCATACAGTCCAAAGGCATGCAGAGTGGCAGACTGACATCTCTATATCGACCATATTGTGTGTGGCCTGTAATGGACTGGCATCCCATCCTGGGTGTCCCCTGCCTCGTGCCCTGTGATGGACTGGCATCCCATCCTGGGTGTCCCCTGCCTCGTACCCTGTGATGGACTGGCATCCCATCCAGGGTGTCCCCTGCTTTGTGCCCTGTGATGGACTGGCATCCCATCCAGGGTGTCCCCTGCCTCGTGCCCTGTGATGGACTGGCGTCCCGCCCAGAGTGTCCCCTGCCTCGTACCCTGTGATGGACTGGCATCCCATCCAGGGTGTCCCCTACCTCGTACCCTGTGATGGACTGGCATCCCATCCAGGGTGTCCCCTACCTCGTACCCTGTGATGGACTGGCATCCCTTCCAGGGTGTCCCCTGCCCTGTGCCCTGTGATGGACTGGCATCCCATACAGAGTGTCCCCTACCTCGTACCCTGTGATGGACTGGGATCCCATCCAGGGTGTCCCCTGCCTCGTACCCTGTGATGGACTGGCATCCCATCCAGGGTGTCCCCTATGGTGCTTGGGAAAGTCTCTGTTTTCCCAAAGTAAGATGGAAGGATAGTTTAATCTATTGTCAATATTCATTGTATTTCAAATTACTTCTACATGCCACATAATGAATGCAAACATCCCAATTTATGATGATTCAACTGTAACATTTTACTTGAGGGCACAAATAATGTACTAATATACTCTTACTTCACATGTGTTAATTAACCAGAAACTAAGTCTTAGTTACGTACTGATCCCGTTTGTTAATTGTTCATGTATTACATGCAGTTATTGTATTTATGAGTAGTAACTGACTTACTAAGTTACTTGTGCCGCCTCAGATGTTACCGATTAAACAGGCATACAGTATGACGAAAGGCCAAATACAGCCAGATTTATGTTATGCAGAAATTTCTTCATGTATGTCTTAAATGAAGGAGATGGACAGGTCCAGTCAATACAATTTTCAAAACACACCTAAATACAAATAACATTGACAGTCTTAAGTCGGTCGTTGACTTTATTTGATAGTTTCCTGCACGGAGACCAGATACACTCAATTAACAAAATAACGTGCAAACTAGAGTGAAAGATGTTGGATAGAATAAAGACGGCTGAAGCTCTGTGACGTGCTGGGAGCACTGGTGCAGCTCTCCGTCAGGCTGGGTGCTGACGCTAGATGCTGGAGCAGGCAGCGCACGGAGGACTTGATGTGGAGACGTAGGAAGGGGCAGGCGTACCCTATTCCTGTCCCAGCGGCGGCTGGAGGTGGTGATTTCCCTTCTCCCGCATGTCACCTTCGCCCACCGGCTCGGCGGAGATGCCGCGTAGCTTGGGAATGCTCGGCAATGCACTTACGCAAAGCCGGGAGATGCACACAGGCGCTGCCTGTTATTCTGACTGTCAAGATGCAATTTAAGGCTGAGATGGTGCCCCCCAGTGGCATCAAATTCAATTAAAACCAAAATATTCTTTAATTTTTGCATTTGTTTACATTCTTACGATTAAAAACTAAACCAAAATATTATTCCTATTAAGTAATTGATTATAGCATAGTCCTTCTGACATCTAAAGGTTCAGATCTATGATAGATTTTATCACAGGCAAGTGTACTGGCTGTTTGAATATATCACAACCGCTGCAGGGGCTTGGATGCACCATGGAGAATTTAAGGCTTTTGTCCTCTACTTGCATGCGTTGTGCTTTCACAGGTGCTGTGAGATCCACTAAAGAGCGAATGGAGGCAGTCAGAAATGAAAGACAAAGGCTATCAATCCAAATTTCCCCTCACTATACTGCTTAACATTAGATTCCATTTCCTTCCAACTGGGAGGAAACACAATAGGATCAGGAAAGAGGTGGGCAGATTAGATTAAGATGTTGCCTCGGAGATTTTCGCCTCAGCAGCCTCCGTTATAATGGCTTTGAAGATGCTTCCGGCTCTGTGGTGCAGATGCGTGACATATGCTGATGTCTCAGTGGTTGACGTCATCTGATTTCTGTGGGATGGTGCTGTCAAGATGTCTGACCTCACCTTCGTTAATGAGGTTTTGATGATGTTTGAGTAAGTAGTGAGGATTTGCCATGTTTTTATTTGCATGGGTTCTTTTTAGGGGCAAAGGGTTTTGTTCTCATGTGCAGAGTGAGATGTGTTTTAAAAACTTGGTTGAATTACTGGAGATTCATACCCTAAGAGTATTTTCAGATTGTTCTCTGTTTTGGTTCAGGAGCTTTGGGGTTCTTTGAGGCATCTGGTGTGATGATATCAGTGCAGTCTGTCTTCTGTGTGGGATTTCGTTTTATAGTTTTATAGGATGTGATGGCATCCGTGTATTATTTTATAACAGGGCACCTTGGAGAACTTCTCCAGCTTGTCTCTTTTCACACATCTAACCTTATAGGTTTTCATTTATCAAATCACCTAACCCAGGGGTGGGCCACCCTGGTCCTG